GGGTGAGCGGCAGTGTCGCGAGGATCAGCCCTGCGATGCCGACGAGGCAGGCCATGACGACGGTGAACCAGCCCAGCCGGCCGATGACCGCGGCGCTGGCGAGCCGGCCGAGCGCGGTCGTCGCCGGCATGATGACCGCCAGGCCCACGCTCATCGCGGTGGGCAGGTGCAGCACCGACGTTGTTGAAGCTCGGCAGCCACGTCGAGATGCCCTTGCTCGATCAGCACGTACAGGAAGGCCGACAGCAGGAACACGACGACGAGGCCGAGTCGCAGCAGCGGCGCCATCGCCAGCAGGTCCTCGCGCACGGTGGTGCCAGGCGACTGGATCGGGCCTTCGTCCAGCGGGCTGAGCAGCAGCAGCACGAAGGCGCCAGCCGCCAGCCCTGCCAGCCACGGGTAGACGCCGAGCCACCCCGTGCCCGGCGCGTGCGACGCCTGGCTGAACAGCACGAAGCCGCCGAGCACGCCGACCATGAACAACCCTTCCAGCAGGTTCGGTGAAGCGCGCGTGGCCGGCGCGGTCATGCGTGACGAGGCCGATCATCGAATAGGCGCTGACCTTGACCAGCGCGAAGCCCGCGCCGACGGTCGCGAACAGCAGCTTGATGCCCCAGAAGGCTTGCAGCGCGGGCATGGCCAGGCACGCGGCGCCGACCGCGGCCAGCGCCAGCAGCATCGATCGTTTCAGGCCCAGGCGGGGCAGGAGCGAGGCGACGAGGAAGGACGTGATCGCGATCGGCAGGTCCTTCCAGGCGTCCAGCAGCGCGGCCTGCTCGCGCGGGACGGCGAGGGTCTCGACCACCAGCAGGTTCACGGCGCCGACGCTGTTGAGCAGGGCGCCGAAGAGCATGTAGGTGAGGGTGATGGCGGCCTTGATGGGCAAGGTGCCGGCTTGTTTTTGGGCCGCGGTCATGTGGGCTTGTGTGTTGCTTTTGCGGGGAGCCTTTCGACTCGGTGCACCGTGCCGGGAGTCCCGCCCGGCGGCGGGGTAACTTTCTTCTGCTGGGGCCAGAAGAAAGTCACCAAAGAAGAGGCGCTGAACCGCACACCATCGGGCTGGCGCGTGAGGCTCGCGCGCGAAAACAGCGCTCGGTGTGTTGGCAGAAGCGACCCGCTTCGCTCTCGCCGCCCACTTTGCACGAGCGTCCAGCACCCGTGCCTTCACCACGTTCAACGCCGGCTGCACGCCGGGCTCACCAGCGAATGCACCACATGCCACGACGCGCCGTCGACGGCGCTTGTCTTCCCACTCGTGAGTTCGGCGTGCAGCCGACGTTAGGCGCACGGACGATGGATGAGTTCGGGCCGTGACAAGGACAGCAGCGAGAGCGCAGCGGTTCGCCTCGCGTGAGGCTGTGAGCGGTCGTTCTCGCGCGATGTCCTTGGCAGGCCAGAGGCGACTTGCGGTTAGCGCCTCTCTTTTGGTGACTTTTCTCTGGCGCAGCAGAGAAAAGTTACCCGCCATCGCGGGGCGGATTCCCGCGGCGGTGCACCGAGTCGAAAGGCTCAGAGCAAAAGCAACCCGCCTTCCGACGATGAACCGAGGCTCCCTCACGTCAGCATCCAGCTCAGAACTGGAACCCCACCGACAGCTCATAAGCCCGCCCGAACAACGGCCTCGCCAGGAACACCCCATCCTGCCCCACCCCCTGCCCCGGCACCCGGAAGTTCCCCTCCGTCAGCCCGATCTTGTTCGTGAGGTTCGTGCCGGTCAGCCGCAGCTCCAGCCCGTTGTCCATCGAGAACACGGCGCCCGCGTCGATCGTGCCGTAGGCCGGCAGCTTCAGCGTGTTGGTCTGGTCGGCAAACCGCTCGCCGACGTGGCTGAAGGTCGCGAAGGTGCGCAGCTGGCCGTAGCCGGTCTGCGTCTGCCAGCTCGGCGTCACCCGCGCCTGGAACTTCGGCGCGCGCTCGACGCGGTTGCCGGTGTAACTGCTGGAAGTCGCGGTACTTGGCATCCTGGAAGTTGCCCGGTCGCCGGCGATCTCGAAGCCCGCGCCAGGCCGCAGCGCCAGCTCGAACTCCAGGCCCGTGGCCTTGCTGTTGGGGCGAAGAACGACGTTGCCGGCGTTCGTGAACTGCTGGGTCTGCGAGTTGGTGAGCTTGTTCTGGTAAGCCGTCAGGAAGGCGCTGTAGAGCTTGGTCGCCGTCTTCAGGCCGACCTCGAACTGCGTGATGTCCTCCACCGAATCGCGGCTCTCGTTGGCGCCGCGGCCGCGCAGCACGTCGAAGTCGGGCAGGCGGTGGCCCTTGTTCATGCGCACGAAGGCGCTGAACTCCCGGCTGAAGGCGTAGTTCGCGCCGCCGGTGAACGACGTGCGGCTGAGCTTGCTGTCGATCAGCGTGTTCGTGCCGTTGAAGTAGGCCAGGTTGTTGTTGTAGAGCGTGGTCGGGTCGGCATCGAGGTCGCCGTTGCTGACGTTGGCGATCGTGCCGGTGATGCGCTGCGTCTCGCGCCGCGCGCCGAGGTCCACACGGAGTTCCTTGTTGAGCTGCCACTCGTCGGCGATGAAGAAGGCATGCGTGTTGCCGCTGTAGCT